TGCTTACTGAAGACATCCTGGAACACCAAGTAATCAGATGGGACCGTGACCTTCTCCCAAGGTTCAGGGCTTTCGACAAGGGTAGATGCAACTTGAGCTGAGTGAGATCCTGGGAGCGGAGTGGTAATGACGTGAGGCAGTTGCGGTGACAGTGCTCGCTCCAGCAAGTCACCTCACACGAGTCCCATCTGATCTCTGGAGAATGGAGAACTAGCCAGGGGCGTCCCAGGATGATATCCACGGTGGATCCCTCCAGTACCAAAAACGTGATTTCCTCCTCGTGTAGAGTGCCAATCTTGAGCTTTAGTGTCGGTGACCCCGTCCTAGCGGTTTTCCCTGGATGGTCTCGACTCGGAGCTCCTGGGCATGACGTTTCCGGGGCAGATGGAGATGATTCAATAGGTCCTGGGATATGAAATTGCCCGAGGAGCCCGAGTCGACGAGGGCAGGGACTGAAACAGAAAGGTCTGGGGTAAGTAGTTGTACTGATAGCATTGACAGCGTGGAAATGACAGGGTCTAGTTGGAGGGTACTCACCGCAGGACGTGGGGGTCTGACTGGGCAGGTCCTGATGTAATGATCCACCGCAGCGCAGTAAAGGCACAGCCCTGCCGCGAGACGGCCAGCACATTCAGAAGGGGTGAGCCGGGAGGTGTCAACATGCATCGGCTCTGGTACTGGGGAACCCATGCCGGGCATGACAGATTGGTGGGCGGCTTCGGTGGCGTGGCATGCGGACAAACGCTGGGAAATTCGGTTGGCTTTTTGCATGAAGCTTTCCAGTCCAACGGAATCATCATAGATAGCCATTTGAGCTTGTACACGGGGATTAAATCCTTGCCGGTAAAAGCTAAGTAGAGCCGTCTCATTCCACCCGCTAGTCGCCGCCAGCGTTCTGAACCACAGTGTGTAGTCGTTAATGGAAGAAGTGCCTTGGTGCAGCCGCAGTAACTGGTCGGACACAGATAGCAATTACTTGGTGACTGAAGTGACTGTGATGAATCCCTGACACAGAGCCATAATTTGTTAAATAAACCACTGTTTATAAAAAAAAAGCAATTGTATGTTTTCTCCCCCTGCTGTAAAATGTATGAAACTGTGACTTGAAAACTGAGGTACAATTACACTAATGTTTTCATTAATATTATGTATATAATTAAGTATTATGTCTAAAAATAGCCTGTTATTAAAGTAGCTAAAATGTTCCTAATTTAAAAAGGCACTCATGTCTTGGGTGATAGAAAAGAATGTGTGCAGTGCTGATTTACACTCATTTATGTGCTTGTCTTGAAATAATATCTAATGTGTGATACTAATTATGATATACTAATGTTCTTTTCTTTTTCCTGACAGACTGTGAGTGAGAAAGACTGGCGAGACTTACTAAAAGTATACATTTTTGTACATTTATTCACTCATCTGACATTTGCAAAATAGCACACTTCTGTTATGTTCTGTATTGTAATTCTGTTATTAAAATTCTACAATAAACATTTTAAAAATGAGTGTGAATCCATTTTTGTGTTTAAGATTTACTGTGTAATGGGTATTTTAAATAAAAAAAAATAGGTGTGGTGTAAATATGGTTAAATAATAGCATTTGGTTTATCAGTCACATGTGGGCCACATAAGGGCCATCAGCCCTTTACAGATCTCAGCCATATAACAATACCATATAAGGTCCATATATTAGCCACATCTGTTTTTATTATTTGGCTCACTCTGGGTTGGGTTATGGCACTGTTTAGGTTCAGTTCTGCCTAAAAAGATGTGGACAAGTTTTGAGCTGGTGAACACAAACTAATCTGGGCCACACTTTAGCTGTTGATATGGGCCAGATCCGCGCCAAAGGAAATTTGCTGACTGAGTAATGTGGCTGTGAGCCTAAAGTGGCCCGCACATGATGCCACAAATGTGGCCCAGTTAACCTAAACTGTATCTGGGCCAGTTTTGGCAAAGATATGGCACGGTAAGAACTGGCTAATGTGACTGTGAGCCTAAAGTGGCCTGCATATGATGCCGCAAATGTGGCCCAGTTATTCTAAACCGTATCTGGACCAGTTTTAGCAAAGATATGGCATGGTAAGCACTGGCTGTGGCTGTGAGCCTAAAATGGCCCGCACATGATGCTACAATTGTGGCCCAGTTATCTTAAAACGTATCTGGGCCAGTTTTGGCAAAGATATGGCACAGTGAGCACTGGCTAATGTGACTGTGAGACTAAAGTGGCCCGCATATAAAATTACAAATATTGCCCAAATAATTAATAACAATTTGGGCCACTTTTGGCAAATATACGGCAGTCAGCATTGGCTAATCAGTGTGTAAGCCTAACTTGTCCCACAATTGACATGTCAAATATGCCCCATATACTATAAAACAGATGAGGGCCACTTCTGGTTTGGATGTAGCACTTGACACTGGTTAATTGAAATGGAAGTTTGAAATTGTAAATATGGCCTAATAGAATTTGGCTACTTTTAGTAGAATGCAACAGTTAACTGAAGCAGGGTAATCTGGATATGAGTGGACTTTGTTTTCCTTTTGCACCGTTTCCCTTGTTGTGTTGATTGTATTAGCCTATTCTGTTCAGGTGTGCCATATCCTTATTTGGTCCGAGTACTTATGTTCACTTTGAGTTTCAGTCTGGTCTTATGTCTACATGTCTTGAATGTTGCTGTGCTACATTGTGTTTGGATTTACCCTTGTTGGATTAAAGATTTATGATATATAACCTTTCATCTTCGTTGTGTGCACTTTAACACAGCATAGCCGTGACACGTATAGATTTACTGTGAAGGGAGAGTCTGAGTGAGAAGCATTTAAGTACAAATTTGTGAAGAACTGTTGTGAAGAACTTGTGAAGAAGTCTTGGAATGTGTCTTTGAATATTTATCTTATTGATGGAAAACCGAGGCTTTCTGAACCGTTTGAGGCTTTCATCAAATTGTGCCGAAAAATGGTTCATTACTCGAAGCTTTTTAACACAGTGCGCATTAGCGACATCTGGTGGTCAGACTTGGTTTCTCCAGCCTATCTAATGAAACATCGCGGAGCAGAGGATGGTTTGAAAATTTTTTAATCTGTGCCAACTCGTGTCATGCGTAGTCCGGTCAATGGATTCACATATTAATCAATAATATATAAGTGTGTGATTAATAATTGACGTGAGTAGTAGCAATAATATTTTGGGTGAGCTGTTTGGGGTCTCTGAGACTCCAGCTAGAACAAAATGCAATAGAGGTGTGACGTGCATTCAGTTTCTGTCTGGTGTTGAGGTCATTCTAAACTATCCTACTGAATCCCAAATAACACACACAACCAAGTAAATGTAAAGTCAAACACAAGAATCAAGCGAAGCGACGATTTTTTTCAAACCAGCTGTCCCGACCTTCCAATACTGCATGACGTTCGAAGCTTCAAACGTCATCAATCACGTGGTATTGTCATTTCGATACACGCATCGGCACGATCCAATAGTGCTTTGACAACTGCCTCGGAGCCTCGGCATCAATAGTCCCATTGATTTGACCAAGTAGGACACATTTCTGGAACTTATTTGAACATTTAGGGAGGACATTTTAAAATTTCTCTTTACAATATGTGGAGTACTGTTGATGCATAACTCACTTAAGGCTTAGTGTGGCCCAGATAATTTATATTTATGGTTTAATTGGTTCATTATTTGCTAAAATGTGGCTGTGCAGTGGCCTGCTTGGACCACTGCCAAAATGCCACCATTCCATGCAGCATGTGGGCCACTTGAGGAATGTGGGGAAGACCAGGATTAGAATAAAAATCAACTGTGGCCCACATTAGGGCCAGTTTTGGTTTATATGGTTGCCTTACATGCTAAGGTTTACTTGAGGCCCAAATCCGGCAAACAGGAGTGGTCCACCCAAATGCCATCATTCTACCAAGTATGTGGGCAAGGTGTTGGATCTGGGCCAGAATTCAAATCAATGTGGCCCAGATTTGGACCAGTTCTGGTTTATTTGGTTTTCATGGCTGACACTGGGCCTTCCTTTGTCTTGCTTGTGGCCCAAATCTGGCAAACAGCCCATCATTCCACACAGTATGTGGGCAAGATGAAAGTATCAGGTGTAGGCCTGATCTGTGCCTCATGAATTTTGCCGTCTGGGTTATGACTGGTTTTGCGGTCCAGGGTCACATATTTGAATTAGGCAGATCAGCTCTTCCCCAGCTAACAATTTTTGGCTCCCAGAACATTGTTTTTTGGTTCCCAGAATGTTACCAGATCATAATTTTTTGGTTCACAGAACGTTATTTTGTTTTGGTTTGTTTTTGGTTAGCCAGGAAAGTTTTCTTAATGGAAATAGAACGTTAATTTTTGGTTTGTAGAACATTCCCATAATGTTATTATAACGTTCCCAGAACGTTGGTTTTTGGATTGTAGATGTTTAGTCATGTGCTTATTCTGCCTAATGTCAGAAGTTGCAAGACTCTTTAATGAATGAAAACCAGTCATTAAAATGAAAATGTCATGTAAAATTACTTAATTACAAACAAAATTGACCAGTTCCATTATTCTCAGCTCCAAATGTTCCTATGAGCTTCTCCCAGGCAGACGAGCCGCAGGACGCTTGGGGTGAACACTCACCTGACATTCAAGGTAAAAAAGCATTAATTAGTATTTGGTCAAAGAAATCAAAAGTACAATTACTGTATACACGAGACAGCCTCACACTAGGTAATTCAGCATTTTCTGTACAATCCATCAGATAATGCATTTTCTGTGCTGAGACCTTTAAGTTCCAAGCAAGAAAGAACCACATAAGTTGTATGTCTCACTTTTGGTAAATACTGTAGCATTTCATCTAGGTGTACTACAGAAAATGTGTTTGTTTAAAGCAAGAATGTAAAGCTAAATAAGCTAAAATACAAAGCAAGAGAGCACAATTCAGTTGCAGCAGCAGAATGAGTACCTTTTGTAATGTAAGAGAGATCTTTCATGCAGACCACCAGCTGGAAACGTGGGAAGAACACCCATCTACCACTCAAGGTAAAAAGCATTAATTAGTATATGGAGGAAATCAAAAACACATTCATTGCAAATGAGTCACAGCCTAACACAAGCTAATACAAAAAAAAAAATCTGAATAATTAGAGAACACATTCTCTGTCCTGAGACTCTCTCAAGACCAAAGACCATCAACCATACATCAAGGAAGAATGCAGAGTAAGTAAAATAAATAAATAAAAACATCTGTCAATATCAGTCATTACTGGGGTATCACTTAAGAGCCCTTGAGCCAGATTTACTAAACAGGACAAATTAGCATCAGAGCGCAACTCCATAAAAGCGCAGATGGGAGGGAAAATTCTGCGTGTGATTTACTGATAATGCACACATTAAAGAACAGACGCAGCCAGATCATTTCCACAATGACCAGTGCAATCTACCAAGAGCAGCACAAATTACTGCCTGCTTTAAGACATGCCTTTTTTGGGCATTAAAAATGGAGCAAATACCAATAATTTGACGAGCACAAATGTTATTAAATCGCATTGCGCAGGTATGACTGCCACAGAGAGCATTTTATTGAATTTGGCAAAATAAAATCAGCCAAAAATGCAGGTATGACTGCCACAGAGAGCATTTTATTGAATTTGGCTAAATAAAATCAGCCAAAAATGCAGAAGAAAGATATAAAGGGGTGAGACCTAATGCACGCACACGGGCACACT